TCTGCTCACGTATTGTCTTATTCTCGTCAAAATCTACTATTTATTGCCGTTACCTGTCTAAGAATCAAATTTACCATTTACTGCCTCTCTTCCATCAGATGACCTACCACTATTCCTTTTACATGATAATATCTACCACTTATTCTTCGGTCAGATCTATGGTACAGACTCGCACACCCTGGCCGCTCTTCTGTCGTCCGTGGATGATATGAAGAGAGTAATCCGAAAGAGAAGCGAAACGGGGACTGGCGGGGTAACCAAGAGAAACACGGACGACATGGAAGAGCTGTTCCAGGCGATTCAGGCCATGGGCGCAGTTGCATTCTCGGAGAAAATTCTTCAAAATGTTAATCACACCTATTTGTTGTCTGAGGTACGGGAGGCGCAATCTGTTCTTAGATGGGAATGGATTTCTTTCAGGAAAATTTGCAAGCTATATTATCCACCAATTGGCAAATTGTTACCTAAAAGATCAGAAGATAGTTGCTGAATACCAGCTAGAGACTGGATTTAAGAAAGTAGTGTGTCAGAACTTTTGAAGACAGTTTTGGTGATATCATCCTTGACAGATTGACAAACTAAGAATCGAGGCGCTCTTGACATCCAGCTGGCTGACTGCAGTGACCACGTACATGACAGATGCCGTGTCAAGCTTATCAGATCTGAGTCAGCTTGGAGCAGTTATGGACATCAGCAAGGTGGGGCATCTCTCAGTTATATAAAAAATCTCATCACCGTGAAGATTATCATTTATTTCTCTATTGAAAATCTGTAGTTTGCAGGTCGGATCGCCATTATTTGTTCTATTCATTCACAGATTATTTCTGGCGAAGTAGACCCCGTCAGCTTCTTAACAGGATCGGTGCAGCTGCTGCAGATGCAGATGTGGGAAAATCTGGGAAACAGGTGAAGCTTTATTATTTTGATATTGCTTTCCCTGTCATACTTAAGATGTATATATAAACATATAGGGTTTGCATATAAAAAAACTGTATCTATGTGTATACACAGTCGATACGGCACTAAATTAAGACGCAAAGGTTTAAATTAAGCAATGTAAATATTCTTTTTACGCCGAACTAGCTTCCTAGGCATCCTGAGTCAGGGCGCGGATATCATATCGGGGTCGAAGCTGGAGGACGACCTCATGCAAGTGGTCAAGGGCATTGCGGGCCTGCAAGCTGCTAGCAACCTCGGCACTATGGACTTCACTAGTAAGCACTGTTCCATCGAGAATTGCAATATCAACGCTATTTAAATCATCATATCATAAATTCCAGTATAATATCCCACATTAAAATTATACACTATGTGCTCAATCAGACTTACAGGAATGTTAAAAAGGCCGTTTTATAATATACTGCCTTAACCCATTTCCTTTAGTCCCCACCACGGCCATGATCACCAACTGGACGTCCATGGCGGAGTACCTGACGGAGGAACTGGATATAGAGGAACTTGTGGTTGAGGCCCTGAGTCGCTCGGAACTCAATCTGATGGCGGTGAGTCACGGGTATCGTGGTGAATGGTGTTGGAATGTTGTGGTGTGGTGATTTGCAATAACGTGTGGTGGGCGGGTGGTGTGTTGAATATTAAGAATGTTGGTGTACTGGAAAGGTAGTGGAGGAATGTGATGGTAAAGTTTGACATAAAACTTAATATATAGCAGTTATACGCTTTGTGTTTAAAACCATCTTTCGCAATACAGATACGTCACCGAACTAGTAAGAGACGGAGAGAGAGAGAGAGAGAGAGGGAGGGAGGGGGGAAGAGAGAGAGAGAGAGAGAGAGGGAGGGGGAAGAAAGAGAGAGAAAGAGAGTGAGAGGGAGAGAGAGAGAGAGAGAATAAAGGCAGAGAACCAAAGAACTAACCCAAAACCCCGCACAGGTCCTTTCCCTGGAGGACTTGACCCTAGAAGAGGTCATCTGCGAGGCCAAGCAGGTCGTCCGCGTGGTGACCTTGGCCGAGGACAGCCCCGTGACCCCGGCCAACCTGAGTGCCTCCCTCTGCCACTCCAGCGACGCCGAGGCCCTGGCAGCGACGTTCCTCCAACACCTCAACCTCGGGCCTCTCGTCCAGACGGTGGGTTGGAGTAGGACCTTGAGATGCTTCTCGAGATAAGGATGTTGAATAATGCCGGTGCTAGAATTATGCTGTTGTTGTTTTTTTCCTTTTAAAGAATCATTTAAATTGTGACTAGGATTATTGTATAGTCGGATTTTAAAAAATGGCTTTAGGTTTTGGAAACACATTGAGTTGATGTTCATGATTCTGTTTACGGTTCTTAACGGTTTCTCGGTTTTAAAATATGAGAAGTGTATTCTTGGAATTCACATTTTAGTTTGATTCTTGTAATTAGTGCAATTATTTCTTTCCTTCTATTTAATACTTACTTGTCTGCATCTTTTTTCCTTCTTTTCTTCTTCCTTTTCATTTTTTTTCTTCGTCTTTTCTTTTTCCTCCTCCGCCTCTTCATCTCTCTTTTTCCTTTTTCTTTTCTATTTCCCTTTTTCTTTTATTTTTTATTTTTCTTCGTATCTTCTCTTTATCTTTTCCTTTTTATTTTCCTTTTTATCTTTCTTCTTATCTTCTCCTTTTCATCTTTCTTCTCCTCCTCCTTCTCACCCCCTCACCCCCCCTCCCCCCTTCCCCTCCCCTTCCCTTCCCCTTCCTCGTCGCCGCGTTCTCCTCCTCCTCCTCCTCCTTCTTCTCCTCCCCCTCCTCCTCCCTCCTCCCCTCCTCCCTTCCTCCTTCCTCCCCTCCCCTCCTCCCCTCCCCCTCCCCCTCCTCCCCTCGTCCTCCTCCTCATTTCTTTTCAAATTTATCTTCCTTTCATCCGCTGCTCTCACTTCCCCAACAGCTGACGAAGTTCGGCATCAACGCCACCCTCGCCTCCCGGGGAACGACCCTGGACCAGCTCGTGAAGGACATGGCGACGCTGAGCACGGTGTCCAAAGGGCTCCCCAACATGGCCTCCACCTTCAGCGCCCTCCGCGGCATCATGGACACCCTCAGGCAGGACGCGGCGGAGTTGAATCAGCAGGAGAAGCAGGCGGGTCTCCTCGGCAACAGCACGACGGGATCGGTGCTGGGTGAACTTTCGTGTAAGACGATGGTCCGTTGTTCAGCTTAAAACCCGATGAATATTCGTATATACAGACATCCGTATACACAGAAACAAGCGCATATCCGTCTGTCAGATAGATATATACACTTGTCTATCTATCAGTCAAGATATGCATG